AGTCTGGCGAGGTTCATTGATGATTCCTTTGAAACGTCTGGGAATGTACCTAGTCCCTGATACGACGATTGACATTATCATGACTACTAAAGCAGAAGGCTACGAACAAGGTTGGTTCATCTAGGTCACTCTGACAATAGGACAAAGTTGCAAAAATGAGGTCAAACCATTTCTTTACGGCGAAAGGAGACGGCAGCATCTTGATCTTCACGCCTTTAATATAGGCTCTGCGAACCTCAATAGCATCCTCGTTGTCTTAAAAGCTTCATACATCCCTTTAAGCAGGACTTGGAGGCTAGATTATTATCTCAAAGAAACGAGTTAGGTGCCAGGGTGCTGATGACTAGCGATTCAACCTGGCATGACACCCACCTTTGTTCTGGGCTAGACTGTGGCCGTAAAGTGAAGAGGAGTACGCACCATCTGAGCCCTCGATGCCACCTCTGATTCGTCTCGACAGCTTCGGTGGTACCGTCTTTGGTCTGTCTATATTAACAGAAGTGACCGCCGGCGTCTTGATCGTGGAGACAGATCGCTGCCTGACCAAAGGCGACAGCAGCTGGTGAGTCTGTAAAAAAATGCCATCGTCGAGGGCATCCGTGACTCTTGTGTTCGGGCATCCGATCGGCTGGTCTGCTTGAGGGCTGGGTTGGAGGAAGAAGGACGGGGCGCCACTTTCATCTGCAGGTGTGGCGGTTGCATTTGACTCCTCAGCCAGCAGGCCCGGGTAGAAGGGTCGAGCTATCCGGACGCTTCGTCTGGTCAGGCGTCTGGCAGACGAGTCAGCATCTCTACTGATTTGACATGGCAACAAGCTGCTTCTGGAGGCAGATGACTCCGGCTGTCGGTGCTGTGGTCGCCGTCCCTGCCAGGACGTTGCTCGAGCAGCTCGCTGTGCGGACTCGGTGGCCAGATTCCTTTCGCTGACCGGTCGCCGTTCCATTAGCAGCCTCGGACGACGGAGCTGGTTGCTCGGCTGTTGCCTGTCAGTGAGAAGCCGAGTCCCTTTACTTTCGTCCAGTTGAGTTGGCGCAAAGGATGGGCTCTCCTCTTGACTCATATCTCGGCCCAACTGACTGCCGGCCTCGACCGATGCGAGCAGAAGCCTGGAATGGCTGATCGTATGGCCAGGCATCATGGCCACATTTATCCTTTTTAGTGTCATTGCTCGGCCGTAGGTGACCAACTCGATGAATTGACCCTGTTTACTGCGTTGACAGCGTCTTGTAAATTGTGGAAGGGGTTTCAGTTCCGCAATCATTTGTTGAAACCTATACACCAGAACAAAGTGGCCATAAGTTCCGTGACCAGGCATCTGCTGCTAAATATGAAGAGAAATTGGGTTTCGAAGGAGCCCTTAGTAAATTGATACTGGCATACCTTTTATTTCGTTTGAGAAGGCGACTGGAAGGGAATCGTAAATTAGCCTCACCGGATGACAAAGGAGGGTTGCCTCGGACTTCTGCCTATTCAATTGTGCAAAGAAGACCTCAACCTATCATCCTACAACTTCGATGACTCCGTGCTGAGCTCCCGTCCGTTTTGTGGCGGACAACGTCAGAGCCAGAAAAAGACTTCACCAAAAATACCAAACTAAAAATGGTGGCCGGCTGAAATCCTATTTGCTTCTTGTACTTTTGCAATCTTAATGGGGAATTCTATGATTTGGTTGGCTCTTTTATGCTTGTCATACATGCATGTAAGCGAGTGATAGTGCTGCAACAAGGGGAGAGGATGTGGTAACAGCTTTTGTATATATAAATAACCTACCGTGTGGTCCTGTAGTTATGGGGCTTGTTTTAATCTCGTGAAGGTGTGTGTGTTGTGTCTATGCCTTAGTTACAAGTCAGGTCTCTCCTCTTTCTTTCTTCCTAATTATATTCAGCAGCCAGAGTAAATTCTTACTTAGTTTCCTATCATTCATGTTATTTAGAATGTTCTTTATTTTGTTAATTTTAATCGTCTCCCTGATCTTCCGCTTAGCTGTGAAGTCTTCATATTCGGCAAAACGTTGTATTTAGACCACCATATCTGGTGTCCTGTAGTTCAACCACCTCCGATTTATGATTCCATAAAAGTTTGCGGGCGGTTTGTTATTGTGATAGTCTCGTGTGTATT